GGCTCCCACAGGGAATCCACACCGGCCCGACGGAGCGTCAAGACATGTAGCCGAAGAGCCGCCCAAGACGGCCCGGCAGGGCCGCAATACGGCCCCCAGAGCTTCCCAACACGGCCCGAGGTTCCCCCAAGACGGCCCCAGAGCGCTCCAAGAGGTGTCGAAGATAGCGGGGCGAGGCACCAGTGTGCCATTTCAGGAGCCTCCCTGAGCTCCTGCTCCTCCTCCTCCTCCTCCTCCTCCTCCTCCTCCTCCTCCTCCTCCTCCTCCTCCTCCTCCTCCTCCTCCTCCTCCTCCTCCCCCACCTCCTCCCCCTCCTCCTCCTCCTCCACGTCCTCCTCCTCCTCATCCTGCTGCTGCCCCTCCTCCTCCTCCACCTCCCCCTCCTCCTCAGGAGGACACCCAAAATGGCCCCCAACGCCGATAGAAGCCACCGAGATGTCCCGAGCATGACCCGACGGAGGCCCCAAGACGGTCCAGACACACCGAGATGGCTCCTAAAGAAGATCGACAGGATGACCGATCCAGGGGAGGACGAGGAGGGCGGCCAAAATGGCCCAAAAGCCGATACTATGAGCCACAGAGATGTCTCGAGCATGCCCCGAAGAAGGCCCCAAGAGTGTCCAGACACCCCGAGACGGCTCCTAACGCGCAGCCCAAGTAAACCAAAGTGACAGTTACTTGACAGTTTCTCCAGCGTCCTATCGGTGATCCTCCCGTGCACCGGGCGCCTGAGCGGCCCCAGTGCGGGCCGTCTCGGCGCCTTCTTGCGGGCCTCTTGGGTCTTATATCACGCGGCCCCAGCTAAGGTCAGATAAAATTATCACGGAGACGACCCGCCCCGCAAAAGCTATGATGAACACAGAGCGCGGCGTGAGAAACAGCTTCTGTCCACACCACGTTGTGCCTACATGCGTTCCTGCCTTCAGGCTTGCTTGCCTGCATCCCTGGCCCACCTCCCCATTCAGCGGCCACTTCCTCCATCCACTCCCTCCCCTTCAACCTCCCCCCCGCGAGGCCCCGGAGGCGCTACATTTCCACGTCCACACCATGGCGGGCAGACTTCGCGGCCGGAAGGCCGCGGGTCAGCCCTCGTCTCTACTACATTGCAGGGGCACGTGCGTGCGGGAAGGGCGCAGGCTCAAATAACTCAAAACCGCCCCGGGCTGGCCCCGGGCCGCCCCGGGCCGCCCAGGCAGGCCCCAGGACATGTCGAGAGAGCCCCCAGAAGCCCCCAAGACGGCCCCGGAGAGCCCCGGCACGCTTAAAGATGGGCCCAAGACGCCCGAGATTCGCCCCAGGCGGCCCAAGAGGCGTCCAAGACGCCCGAAGAGGCCTCCCAAGAGGCCTCCCAAGAGGGCCCCGAGCAACAGAAATCGACGATTTCTACTGTGTTTTTCGATGTTTTCGGCCACCTCGCCTCGTCGGCTTCCCGACGCTCCAAGACGGCTCAAGAAGCCCCCTCGACCGCTCCAAGACGGCCGAAGAGGACCCCAAGAGAGCCCCAAGACGGGCCAGGAGGGCCCCCAGACGGTCCCAAGACGCCCCAGGACGGCCCCCGGACGGCCCAGGAGGCGCCCAAGACGGCCCAAGAGGCACCCAAGACGGCCCCAGGAGCGGCCCAAGACGGCCCACGACAGCCCAAGAGGCGCCGAGGCGGGTTCAGACGGCCCCAAGACGGCCCAAGAGGCACCCAAGACGGCCCGAGAGGGCCCTAAGAGCCCCCCCGGGAGGCCCAAACGAAGGCCGAAGAGGCTCCGAAACGGCCCCCACGAAGCCTTCAGTGCCTTCAGAATTCCCTCCAGGAGCGGGGGAGCGGACGAGAGGCGACAGGCATATCGCAGGCCAAAACGCCCCAAGAGATCCCCAAACGGCCCCCACGAAGCCCTAAGTGGCCTCCGAATTGCTTCCAGGAGGGGGGGAGCGGACGAGAGGCGACCGGCATATCGAAGGCACAAAAGAACAATGTTGGACGCTCCGAGGGCCTTCGATGTTTCTCCGTTGGGGAGAGTCGTCGTAGGATCGACGATTGCCGACCGAGGGCAGCGAATCCAGTGGAGGCCCAAGAGGCCCCCAGGAGCCCAAAAGAGATCCCCAAGAGGTGCCACGGGGCTTAAAAACTGCTTCGAAGCGAGGGGGGCGGACGAGGGGACCGCCTCAGGAGGTTTTGGACGGTTTTGGGCCTCAAAATCGTCCGCTTTACGACGGTTTTGGAAGGATTTTGGCCTTCTCGCCTTTTCCGCTTTCCGACGCTCGAAGACGGCCCAAGAGGCCTCCAAGAGCGCCCCAGAACGGCCCAAGAGGTTTCCAAGAGCGCCCCAAGACAGCCCAAGAGGGCCCCAAGACGACCCAAGAGACGCTCAAGACGGCCCACGAGGGCCCGAAGACAGGCCCAAGAGGGGGCCAAGAGGGGGACCACGGACAGAAAATCCGAGCCTTCCGCCCCAAGAGGGCGCCAGGAGGCCCAAACAGGCCCCCAAGAGGCCCCAAGGGGCCGCCAAGAATCCCCCGAAGAGGCCCCAGGAGGCTCCCAAGGAGCCCAAACGAGGCCCCTACAGAGGCCCCAACAGCTTCCAAAATGGCCCCGAAGAGGCCTCGAGCCCGCCTCCGAGCTTCCTCGCCGCGAGGGTGCCAACATGACGGCCCAAGGCGCGCTCAAGACGGCCCAAGACGATTCCAAGACGGTCCCAGGAGGGTGCGCCCAGGACGGCCCAAGGACGCGCCCGTTCGGGGCCTCAAGACGGGCCAAGATGGCAAGAGAGTCCCAGCTGGCAAAAATCGTTAATTTTCCATTGTTTACTGTTACACCCTTTGCGTTTCCCGCCGTTTCGGCGGTCCGATGCACCAAGAGGCCCCAGAAAGTCCCAGGAGGGTCCGAGGAACCGCCCAGGAAGGCCCCAAGACGGGCCAAGACGGACCCAGCACAACCCAAGGCGCGCTGCGACGGCTCAAGACGGCTCCAAGACAGCCCCAAGAGGGTGCCAACACGGCCCCTGCTGGGCCCAGGACGGCCCAAGGAGGCGCACAGGAGGGGCCCAAGACGACTCCAAGGCGGCCTCCTCACGGTCCCAGACGGCTCCAAGACAGCCCCACGAGGACCCCGATGGGCCCAGGACGGCCTACGGACGCGCCCATGAGGGGCGAACCACGGCCCCATCAGGGCAAACGGCGCCCTCAAGACGGGCCTAGACGGCTCCAAGACGGCCCTTTGAGAGAGCCAACGCGGCCCCACACCCTTCGGGCGCACTTTTGGGGGGGCTGGGAGCTTGCGACAAGTCTCCCACATTCATTGACCTGCCCCATTCTGTTCGCCTGGAGGCCTCCTCCAACCCTGTGGGCGAACAAGAGGAATCCCAGCGGGACGCCAACCCTGGGGCCCGTGGGCCCTGCGCCGCTTGGGCAGAAGACGAACGCCGGGTCTGACAGGCCAGCTACCGCCCCCCTTTGCCCGATATGCTGTGCCATTCTGTTCCCCCAGGGGCCTTGGCAAACTCTTCGGGCCAAGCAGACCGGACCCCTGGGACAGCAGCCAATTGATATGACCCTGGGACCTCTCCGCATTCTTCGGACGAGCATCTGGGGGGCCCAGGAGATTCGGACATGTCTTCCCCATTCCTTGCCCTGTCCCGTTCTGTTCGCCCGAAGGCCTCCACAGACCCTCTGGGCGAACAGAATGGGACATGGCGAACAAACCCTCCCGTTGGCGGTGATGCGACTGGATCGCACCATCAAGGCGCGCCCGGAGGTGATGGCCGACCCAACAGCGGTTTCTCTTAAGAGTTCACTGGATTTCAAATTTTCTTGAAGCTCTCTTGGGCCCTCCCTGTAGATCCTTGCGAGCCTCCCCGGCGCTTTGGGTGGCTTTCCCCGATGGCCTCCCGAGCCCTTCCCCGAGCGCTCCTGAGACGCCTCAGATGGGCTTCGACTTCGACGCACATCCCCGAGAGACTTCGAAACTGTCCTCAATAGGAGGGGGGTGAACGAGCAGTGCGCTGGGCCAAGCTGCTGCAGCGCTGCAAGAGCTCGGACACGAAGGCGCGGTCTCGCTGCCGCCGCCCGAGCCGCCGCCGTGTTTGTAGATTTTCGGTACAATCTGCGCCGTTCCTCCGAGAACCATTCCAGAAAGATGTCGTGGACGGAGTCCACGGGTCAGCCCTAGTCTCTACTACATTGCAGGGCCCAGTGCGTGCCAGAAGGGCGCAGGCCCCAATGCACCAAAACCGCCCCGGGCTGGCCCCGGGCCGCCCCGGGCCGCCCAGGCAGGCTCCAGGACATGTCGAGAGGGCCCCCAGAAGCCCCCAAGACGGCCCCGGAGAGCCCCGGCACGCTTAAAGATGGGCCCAAGACGCCCGAGATTCGCCCCAGACGGCCCAAGAGGCGTCCAAGACGCCCGAAGAGGCCTCCCAAGAGGCCTCCCAAGAGGGCCCCGAGCGACAGAAATCGTCGATTTCTATTGTGTTTTTCGATGTTTTCGGCCTCCTCGCCTCTTCGGCTTCCCGACGCTCCAAGACGGCCCAAGAAGTCCCCCCGACCGCTCCAAGACGGCCGCTCCAAGAGCCCAAGAAGACAAGACGGCCGAAGAGGACCCCAAGAGAGCCCCAAGACGGGCCAGGAGGGCCCCAAGACGGTCCCAAGACGCCCCAGGACGGCCCCAGGACGGCCCAGGAGGCGCCCAAGACGGCCCAAGAGGCACCCAAGACGGCCCCAGGAGCGGCCCAAGACGGCCCAAGACAGCCCAAGAGGCGCCGAGGCGGGCCTCAGACGGCCCCAAGACGGCCCAAGAGGCACCCAAGACGGCCCGAGAGGGCCCTAAGAGCCCCCCCGGGAGGCCCAAAAGAAGGCCGAAGAGGCTCCGAAACGGCCCCCACGAAGCCTTCAGTGGCTTCAGAATTCCCTCCAGGAGCGGGGGAGCGGACGAGAGGCGACAGGCACGCCGCGCTTGCCCAGAGACCCCTCGCCACGTCGAGCTGATGTCGTGGACGGAGTCCACAGGTCTGCCCTAGTCAGCTACAACGCTGCGGTCAGCGCGTGCGAGAAGGGCGAGCAGTGGCAGCGGGCTCTGGTGCTTCTCAGCGAGATGCGGGGAGCGAATCTGCAGCCCGACGTTACCCATGCGGTTGTTCTGGGCCAGCGCGCGCGAGGGTGACATATTGGAGGCACGTTGGTGTCAGGCCGCGTCGCCGATCTGGGCGTTCCGAGAAGCTCGGGGTCGTTGGGACCAGGCCCCCAACGGATTTCCGAGGCTGTGGGCCTGCACCCGAGGGACCCCCAGAGGCGCCAAGAGGTCTGCAGACCCAACAAATCTGCAAAATACGTTACATTTCCCAACGTGTGTTGGTTTCTTGACCTTTTCGCGTCCACCTTACCCCAGCAGTGTCTGATACCCCCGACGCGCCTCCATTACGGTCCTCAGCCAGCCCCAAGAGGGCCCCAGGACGGCCACAGAGCGCTCCTGGAGAGCACCCGGACGGCCCGACTGGGCCTCCAGAGGGCGCCAAGACGGCCTGCGAGACCCTTGAAGGGCTCCCATAGGGGTGTGCACGCCCCCACTACGGCGCAAGAGAGCCCCAGCGCGTCTCACAGATCCAGGTGCAGCAATGGCGGCAGCAGCCATCAGCAACAATCAACAGCAGG